AATACCAATAAAGGGGTGAGCGGCTTGCCCCAAATAGGAAAGCGACGCACTAGATTTATCAAAGGTTGGGAAGACTGTAATAGGATTCATTTTATCATCATAATGATAATCATTTATTGTGTTCTTTACTCTCAGTGGGACTCAAAGCCATTAACAATTGTAAAAAGCAAGCTGAGGGAAGAAGCAGAAAACAGGCACAGTTATAATGTGAGCACAACAAAAAACATGCGATGATTAGGTGTCAGCGTGATTAAATGCCTTGTAAAAAAGGAGAAGCTTTCACAATGATTTGAAGGAGAAATACACATTTCTTGTATCTCCTGGTACTGCTCTTGCTTATTATACAGAACAGCCAGTAATAGGCTGAATAACTGGAAATCAAAACACAGAGAGCGCCTCCATCACGTAAAAACATTTTAATAAAATAATTTAAACAGATGTAAACATACTCACAAGGATCGAGTTTAAAAAGGCTCTGACGAAGGAGGCGTGACCTCGGAAACGTTAACCATCAGGGAGGAAGAGTAGCCGGTGGGCTACGCCTTTCATGCTTTTACCGTTTCATGCCTTTTTAAACTCGATCCTTGTGAGTATGTTTACATCTGTTTAAATTATTTTATTAAAATGTTTTTACGTGATGGAGGCACTCTCTGTGTTTTGTTTTCCAGAGTTGAGGTTTTCCTAAAGCCTTTTTGAGAGCCTGCCTCATTCATGGTTCATACTAAGATCACTGCAGATTTTCTCCTTGTTTGGAAGTAAGCCGCTGGCGCTTTGTTATATACTGTTTGCTAGGCTGAATAACTGTTCTTTTCTCAGGTCTTTATTTTTTGTTTTTAAAGAAAAAACCTATTTAAAGGGACTATTAGGTCTTTTTAATGGTATATAGACATATGTGAATGGTGTTAACTTAAAGGGGTCAATTTATAACCAGAGTTGTTTCCCCTACAAATCTTCCTCTTTGAATAGACATAGAAACAATCATTCTTATATATTTTCTCTTTTGAGGTCATGTAATACAGCATTCTGGCCACTAGATGAAGTTGAGGGGCAAAGGAAATAGGTATTTTTTTCCAGTGCTCTTTAGCTCCATCTAGTGGCCATCATGTAGTATGCATTGCTAAGTTATGTACAGCATCTTACCAGCGCCTCTCACCAGCTATGATCTGCCTAATTTGCATAGACAAGCACATAGACCCCATGATGGTGGGTCTAAAATATAGAATGTTTTATTTCAAAATTTCACTAGCATGTTGATGGGGGCGGGGAGGGAGAAGAACTAAGGAAGGCAAAATAGGAGCAGATTGAATTTCAGCTTTAATGGCAGATCCCTGAAAATGCAGAGTTACTACACTCACGTCCCTGGTGGCTTGTATTTCCTATCTTTACTCTGTTCAAGCACTGCAGCCTTTGTCAGAATCTATAGTGTTCAACCTGTCTGGAAGTGTCAGATGCCTGTGTCCCCCGCTATGGTTCTATCCTCTGACCCCCCGCATCGCTACAGGATAGCAGTGCAGGCAGACCTGTATTGACTAACTAAATACCTAATTAGTAATCTGAACTAGTTTAATTTACATGTTCTTATATTTGGCAGCGGCTTCATATGGAATCAGGGGAAATCTTTCAAGCATATTTATTTTTATTTTAATGCAACAGGTTTGTCCTTGTCATTGCTTTTAGTTTTTATTTCACTTTTATGCCATTTTTATTACCTTGAATGTGGTTTTTCTCTTACAATGTAATTGATTTGGGAGCAGGTGGCATTTGTATAGACATGTTTTATCTCTGATTTCATTTACATCTTTACTGCTAACCCTCGCCATTCGGATCAAACCAGCTTAACTGACAAGATTATAGCTTCCCCTGTTCACTTCTGTTAGTGTTCCTGATTATAATGCACTTTACAAAATCTCTTTGAGTCCAATACACTTTCTCTAGTGCACACCTAAGCTCCTTAGGCCCTTTATAGATTTCTGACTCGCTATATAATACCGAGGTAATGCTAATGATAGCATGGCTTTAGTACAATATATGTGGAACAGCAATAGGCTGTTTTGTAGCTTGTGCACAAATATTAACATTGCAAGTAGCAGAATCATGGACCAGCAAAGCCATTTCAGCAAGATCACACACTGTGTGGAGTATGAAATAAATGGCTCCATAATATTAGGATCTGTTTGTGCTATAAACCTGTAGTTCTGGATGGAAAGCTCTTATTTGTTGGATCTATGATGGAAGTGAGACCTGCAAATAACTTCTATTTTAAGAAGGCTCTGCTGTGATTCTTACTAAATAAGTGGGAGGCTTTTTGGTGCCTTTAAAGTAGTGATACCCCCGCACTGCAGGGGTGCACATTTTGTCTAGGAAGCAAAGCTGGCCTGAGCCATGATCCTGGCTTGCTCTTAGACTGGTCCCTTCAGCCTTGCTCCGGCTACGTTCCATGGTCTAAGGTCCTGTGAGTCATCACCTCCTATACAGTGTGTATACTGTGAGGATGCCACCGAGGGACATTACATCGCTGGAGTGAAGGAGGAGACAGGCTGCTGGGAACACTGTTGGAGCCAGCCAGGATCGTGGTTCGGGTTGAGTATAACTTTATTATTATTATTTTACCTCTCTAGACAAAATGAGCACTTACCCCCACACTGCAAGGGATAAGATTTTATTTGCCTGGAATTCTAATTTTAGCCCACCTCACCATGATGTGTCTGGTAAGATCAATATGAAACTGGGGCCTAGCATTAAAAGAAGCCTTCTGTATAGAAAAGAAAACCCTGCTACCCTTTTAACACTGGGCCTGATTGATGGTGTGCCAAATATTTTGCATACGGAACACTGATACATGGAATGCGCCAAATAATTGTTTGAGTTGAAGTTCAAGGTACTACTAGTGCATTAAATGAAAAAGACACGATGTGCGCCAAATAATTTTTCAGAAAATTAGTTTGTCAATATTTGTTGCCAAGGAGGTGCACAATATTGCACCAAGAGTGCAATACATTTAAGATCATGGTTTCTGCACGTAATAAACTGTATGCGCTGTGACTTAATAGTTTATGTACACCACAATCAGAAGTGCCGTGCGAGACTTCACATTCCTCTACAAACGCCAATCTTAGTGTATCAGGCCCACTGTCTTAAAGGAGTTGTAAAGTCCCAGCATACACTATCCTATTATAACATCAGCATTGTAATAGGAATACATACCAGCGTTGTTTATGATGATGTAATCACATGATGATGATATAATCACTACAAAAATCGCTTTTATGTAGTGAGTGCTTCCCTTTGTCTGCATGGGATTCCAACAGTGTTTTGCATCTCTTTCCCTGTTGTTTGATGTGATGTAATCTCGATGTCTCAAAACTGCATATCCCATCATGCATTGCTGCCAGCAAGCAATGATAATGTTAAATTGTTCAGACATTGGGGTCTATTCACAAAGCTGCCGAGGGCAGCCGAGTGAATGCTCGGCCAGCTTCGGCTTTCAGCACGGCTCAGCGCTCGACTGAGCTGCTCGGCCGTGATCGGGAGCTGTACGGGCTATTGTGAATAGCCCGTACAGCACCCCCTCGGTTCTCCTGAACCGAAGGGGTCCTGGGGCCGAAGCCAGCCGAAGGATCGGCCGAAGCTACGGCCAGATCCTTCGGCAGCTTTGTGAATAGACCCCATTGAGTTGTAGTTCAGAAGGCAGGCTCTGTGTAAGTTGTGAAACAAGGAAGTGCATATACACAGGGCTGAGTGAAATTGTATCAGAGCATTGAGGAAGTACACCCTATGGGCATCTTCAATAAGTAAGTTTACAAACTTCTAGGTCTGTATGGTTATTTGGAGTGGGATGGAAAATATGGACATTCAATATAGAAATAACTATTTGCTTTTAGTTTTTGACCATAGATACCCTTTAGAGTCTATATGTCCCATCTCCCACAGTCAATAGATTCTGCTTTTTCTATACTCTTTTTGCTCATTGTACAATCACTGTACACTCTTGTATTACACTTGTTATACAAGAGAAACTGGCGCGTAGCAACTCACTCAGTCTCTCTCTCTCTCTCTCTCTCTCTCTCTCTCTCTCTCTCTCTCTCTCTCTATATATATATATATATAGTCTTCTATACTTTTTCATCTATAACATTTATATCACCTTACTAATACTTCCTTTTGAGTTTCTTATCTCTTTCTTCCTCTATGTTCGTTCTTCCTTTTGAGTTTCTTATCTCTTTCTTCCTCTATGTTCGTTTACCATCAACTTCCTCTCTCTCCTTACGTACTTTGGCCAATTCCCACATCCTCCGATAGGGGGGAGTAATCATTTGATTATATGTATACCTATATATACCTGTGCATATACATGTGCCAGCCCATACCCCTTTTTTTCTACAATGTTCCCTTTAATTATACAACCATATCCTCAGACCAACGTAATGCAGAATTATATTCCTCTCAAACCCCTTTCTTGTGTTCATGTCTCTCTCTCCCCTCCTATGTTTTCTTATTCCCCTTTTATTTATTATGCGAATGCATTCGCCTCAAAAACTGTGTAACATTTTTTTTAACATAAATTAAAACCATGGACATGAATTGTTCTGTTGCTCTGTCTGAAAGATAAATAGCAGCATAAAATACCAGACACTTCACACCAAAGGTTTATTTCTAGAAAATATACTGTATACAGGACATACTGTAATTGAAACATTAACAATCTTCTCACTCTTTGGATAGCTCTTCTTCACCCTTGGCTTAAGTTCTTTCTCTAATACAATGTCACATTTACATTTACAATATGCAGTGCATCTATAAAAAAAATAATTTGTCCTGCAAACCTGCATATACATTTCTTCTGTGCGAATAAGGGCCAAAACTAATTTTATTAGTATATCTTTGTTCCAGGTCGAATGTAATATCTAGAAAATAC